TTTTACGTATTTTCTCCAGATTACGATTTCCGCTCGGGTCATCTATCGCAAGTAAAATACACACATATATCCTATATACATACATACATACATACATACACACATACATACACAAACATATACACCACAAGGGTTCTATTTCATCACACTAGCCTCTCTCAACTTTTTAGAGTAAAAAGTAAGCTGGTTTACAGAAAGAGAGTAATTGCTATTAATTCCTTATAACTACAACATCTACAATTACCATGCATTAATTAGGTTATTTATTAAACACTTTCAAAGGAAATTGAACAAGAGAAGTTGGTATACGTGAAATATATACACGTACCTATTTGGCAGTCTATTTAAAATCACATAAATTACAGTATAATAAAATCTATATATGGTTTCAGAAAGCGGCAGATCGGCAATGCGATGTCTAAATTGATAAAGTGAGGTTCCATTTCTTACCGCAGATGGAAAATTGTTCCACAACATCGACCCGCTGATCTAAAGCTTCGCTTGAGAAAATTCGTTTTTGGTGTTGGTAGAGATATATAGATTAAATCATATAATACTTTTTGTTTGTGGGAACACCATATAAATTTATTACAGCAAAACTTTCGATCCGTAAGCCCTGATCTTCATCGATATCAGTGCTAATAATGTGTGACTTGTTCAAATCAGTTTCCAAATTGCGTAAATTGTAAACAGAAATTAAGTTAGACAATATTTCGTTTATCTTACAGCAACAAGGGAAATGGTGTTTACCAAATTAGTGTTGAAAAAAATAAATTTATCGACGTGTACTGTCAAATGACTAACGTCTCAGGATGCTATGGCGGCGGTTGGACAATGGTGATGAAGATTGATGGAAGCTTGGTAAGCGTGCGTGTAGATTTAATGATTACTTCTGCTTTGTATCTCACTGCTCTGAAGATGTCTTAAGTAAAAGACGAAACGTTTGCTTTTTAGTAAATGTTTTAAACTATATTTTTGCTATGGCTCCTTTATGTATTCTTTGCTGGGCATTAATATTTATCTTAAGTTTAATGATTATGTATCTGCGAATCAGAATGCAAATATACTTTGTACAGCGATGCAAGTTTCCTGTAAACAAATTCCATGTTTTCGTCCGCGTTTGTTTGTTTGTGTGTGTGTTTAAAGTTTGTCTTGCTTTGCCCGGGAAAATAAACCGAATGTGCAATTAGCCTATTGTATAATTAATGCACGATATAATTTATACATATTAATAAATCCGATTGCGGAAATATGCAGGCTCAGAATGTCCTCTAGTTTCTTAACATATTTGTTTTTATAGAGTACTTTCAAATACAATTCCTCCCATTGGACGAACAAAACAACTTACAATGACACTGACTATGGGCGAAACGGCGGTTTAGACAACGGACAATATAAAGGATCGACTTACTCGACAACCTCATTTGAAGAAATTTGTGTCGGTATGAAATATGATGGTAATTTCAGAGCATTCTCTTTCCGGTATCCGGCATCATCATTGTATGATTTGATCGCAGACGGAAACTATCGACAAACTGATGTTAGTCGGAAGCAGTGGAAAGGTTTAATCAATGGATCATCCTTACAGGAGAATTGCAATAGACAAGGATTCAACGTGCGAGGTGATACCACGAACCCTGTACATTATAAAGTGACTGTAAAAGTTCGGTTGGGCATTGTTGCAAACGAACAAAATGAATGTGATACACCAGACTCTTTCTTAGGCCTGGGAGCTGGAGGTGATCTGAATCATCTCAAGATCGCGTGCGGGTCTGATTCACATACATCTGCCAACGCCGCGGGTAATATTGCCCAGTGTAGTGCAGACAACGGAAACAAGAATGCCAGAGCCATGGCATACATTTTGGTTCGTTAAAGGAACTGAGTGGTCCGATTTAAACTAGAGATGGATTAATCGTCAAAATACATCATCTATCAGACGGATCATTAGGTCATATGTTGCACGATGCAATATTTACTGCAACTTGGCGCGAGTCCAACGAAAATGGCGCGGGTAATAAATTCCAAGGCGCGAGTAAAAAGTTCCAAGGCGGGGGTAACAAGTTTGGTTTATATTATTGTGTTCACATTACATATATTTAACTTTTGAACGGGGGTCCAAATCCGCCAACGGGGGTCCGTATTTACTAGTAGATTTGGACCCCCGAGGGGTCCATATCTGCTAGGAGATTTGGACCGGGGGGTCCATATCTACTAGTGGATATGGACCGGGGGTCCAAATCTACGGGGGTCCAAATCAACTGGGACACCGGTACTTATATTCAAGATGGCGGCTATTTTGACTAAAAGTTCTGCAGTTATTCGGTCAAATATCGTCCCATTCTGTGGAAGGTCTGCAAGCTTTAAATTAAACTAACACAGACATCACAGATTTTCACGTCTTGATACAACGGCTGCATTCCAAGCCACGACAAGTGCAACTTCAAATTGGGTTTAGCAGAACTCTTCCCAAACATAAAACCCATGTCTTCAACTTCTAAGACTGTATTAAATTCATACGATTGATAATATACGACGAACTATCTTTAGACTTTACTACCATTTATTTGAAGGAGTTTGTTTTGGCCGTTTGCCGTCCTAAAATCGTAAGGTCTCTAATAGCGCGAAAGAGAAATGTCAGTTCTGCGGAGTTAAAAATCATCCTTTGGCTTTGCTGGTCAGGAATTACCGGACTCTTGGAGTAAGTGAGATAATTTTAGCATGGTTATATGTCTATTTAAGTTCATATGTGATATTAATGCTGGTGTATTGACTGTCGATATTTGTATTAAATGCTGTTTTGATAATGACTTTAATACTTTCGTTTTCAAAAGCGAGAATTGGTTCTTTCTGTCATATTAATATTTACATAAATATGTTCTTGGCAAATTTTCTTGTCAGTTGAACCTCTTGGTTGCAAATTAGTCGCAGCTTAAATAAATCACAAACAATTTGTATGAATGGTCAGTTCGTTCACAAGCTGCAATTAAATTATCCCCAGGGTTGAAAGCTTGGCTTACAGTAAATAAGTCCTTCATGGCTAATTTAGGCTGTCGCATATTTTTGTGTCTATAGATGGCCGGGATGACCAGTTTCCCCTGAAGGTGTGAAATGACGTGATCTTGTCGAGTTGAAATTTTATCCATGTTGAAATTTTATCCGCAAAGTTTGTAATGCAGTAGCCTTTTTCCTTCGGTCAATTTCTCTGAAATTTTGTATTTTAAAAGTATGAGACATTGCAAATATACTCATTTTTAAAAATTTTAGGTTAACCGATTGAGTGACAGCCTCTCCCCTTGACATGTAAAATTGTCTGGTATTAGACAGAGTAAAATAATCTGGCTGCATTGCCATTAAGCTACCTTTACACACCTCGATTTGTATTCTGGCGTATTAAGGGGTGGTCATTATTTATGGGGGCACAAAAGTTTGTTTTCAGCCCGGGGGGGGGGGGGCAAAAAAATTTTCAATCCTTATTTTCCCCATTTACCACCCCCCCCTCCCATAAATAGTGACCACTCTCTAAAATGAGTGCTGGCGCCTTAATTCATTGCTGTTTCGTGAAAAATTTCAATTGTGGCCAGCTTACGCGTGTTTTATACTCAATGACATACGCCAGAAAACAAATCGTACACAATCGCAGCGTGTAAACGTATCTTTAAGCTGCAGAGTCTGGCAAATGCTGCATAGCTTCATGGACAAATAAAATTAATTGTCTGGTGTTAGACAGTAAAATAATAAAGTAGGGTGCATTGCCACTTAAAGGGTTAATAGGTATAATATTGTAGTCGTGTATTATGTCAGATGAATCACAGTGTAATTCATGTATTTATCTCTCTTAACAAGACTGCAACACAGGCTGCCAACTTGACAAACGTCACTCTGACACAAGACGACACTGAAGATGGTGGCTCGTCACAATCAGGTATTCAATAAGAGTAGTCAATGACATTGCATTAAGGTTACAGAACACCTTTGAGTGTTAATTTTGCCCAAAAATTTTTTATTGGTTTCCATGAAAGCATTATAGACTAGTTCTACTATCTGACCAAATTTGAACGAACAATGTTGAAAACACCCAGAGTTATTTAATAAAATACATTTCGCTGCAATAAGAAAAACATTGAAAATTTAATATTCAAATTCAATTTTCTCCCGAAAAAGTTTACGGTAATTACTGATTTTCAAACGAGTTGTGCTCCTGCGGGTTTTAACCAATTTTTTTCAAATTTTCACAGGACATAGCTAAAGACGTCAGTTTCAAAATTGTGTTCGGCTTTTTTGTGATTTTGGATATTTTAATTATAAAATAAAGAGCAATTCACTGAAACAATTCAGAAATATATTGCAGTCGTCAAAGAAATCGCCATATCAGCGGAATGACGAAATAAACAAAAATTTCCGAACACAATTTTTTAATTTAGAACAACTATTTTACTATATAAAAATGATATTTTCATAAATATAACTTAAAACCAGCAGGAGCATAACTCAAAAGCGTAACGGTACCGCGATTTAAGATTTTCCTGAATAATTCTTACATTATTTTATTGTTTGTTAATTTTACAACTTTACCATATTTTACATGCACTGGAGAACATTTGGTGAAATTTTGATGAAAATCGGACTGATATTGAGCGCGCAGTAGCGATTTTCCGCAAAACGCCAAAAAAGGTGTCCTGTAACCTTAAGTGAAGTGAATTCCCGTTTAGGGAGACAAAGATATTTTTAATATGTGCACTGTAAAACTTGCAATAGACTAACGCAAGGAAAATTACGATGCAGATGTTCAAGTTCTTTCATTGCCGTCATATAGTATCGATCCACTATAGTGTACATTACATGATGTAGTACGGAGGAGCGGAGCGAGAAAGAGAGACTTAATGTCAAGTTAGAAAATCTCGGCGCAAAGCAAAGCAAACAAATTTGGACCACGCAGGGCTAACTGACATGCTACGAACTTGTTGTCATCAACTTGTTACGTGCAGGCGATATCAGACTTGTTGCGAGTCTGTTTGGCCTCATCAACCTTGTTACAAGATGATAACAACTTGTTCCAGACTTGTCAACAACTGGGAACAAGCAGTGCGAACATATCTTGTTGACAAGCTGGCTTCATACAAAAACAAATATATATAACTGATTCCTAGTATTTCTTTGAGACACTTTGAACAAATTATCATCTATGCACTCTAAAAATCATTTTTATAAAATGTTTAATTTTCTTATAAAGTAAAGCTCACATAAATAAGCTACATGTATACCCAAAATAATGTATTTCATAATTTGCTTACAAGTTTTCGGCACATATAAGCTTTCGAGAACAATATATAGTCAGCCATATGCTTGCCTTTCAAAACAAAAATGCCGCTGAGAGCTGTTTTGACTCGGGAAGCAAACACAATTCGTTTGGGACGTGATGTCTTAATGCACTTAACAAATTAGTTTTTTTTATAGTTATGCAAATGTTTAAACTGCTGGCACGCAATATGACTTTTTCATTCAAGAAGCAAGCCTTAAGTGTCTTAGGTGTGAAGGTTACAAAAAATACGAAAAGAGGAATTAAGAAATAAAAAATTAAAAGCCTTTAGAAAACTGGCCATATAATTAGGAACACACTTGGCTGAATGTTCTTACTGTTGGGGTTGTACATCCCTACATACTTGGACGCGAGAAATATATGAAAATGAACGAAAAACGTAGCAAACTTTATATATATTCGTTGTATTCATGACATCACCAATATAGTTTGAAACAAAAGGCCAGGTTAACGACGCGAATTTTCGCCGCGAACAAACTCGTTAACGTTAATCTTAAACTTGTTAATAATTCATGAGTAAATTAACCAACTATACCGCTTTATTTTGCTCACATGATATACCAAAGGATTGGATCAAAATTATTTATTTATTTACTTTGCCATCATACTTATACATTCATTGGCTGGGAAACCACAACAGCTATTGCCAATTACAGCGGCCCCAATAGTTATACAGAAACAATTTACAAGGTATACGAAACACATACAACAGACAATACTTGAACAACAGTCATCACATTTGTCTAAAAGCAGCATGTCAATGGAGAGTTCATTAAACTTCGAGCGGAATTACATTTTAAACACACACTTTTCCATGTTCGGGGATCCTCAACATCGTATGTATTTTCTATTGCTAAAATATAGTACTTAAAAAGAAGATTCTTGAATTCTGAAAATGTTAGGTCTTTGGATGTAATATAATTGGGTAGTGTGTTCCATATTCTTGATGTTCGGATTTTGTAAGATTTTTCATAGGTTGACGTCTTGTATGTCGGAATTTTATATTTGTTCGAGTTGGGATTAAATGATCTTGTCTGTCTTTGACCCTGAGGTTGAGGAAATGGAAGAATTTTTTTTATCAATATTAAAAATGTCGTGATTTGCCTTATAGAAGAATACTACATCCAGGTATTCGTGCCAGTAGCTGAGAGGGAGCAAACTGGTTGCAAGGAGTCGGTCTCTATATTCTGTATCACAAATAAAGGGAACATTTAAAATATATTTAGTTGCACGCCTCTGAACTCGTTCTACTCTTTTCACCAACTCAACTGTTTGGGGTGCCCATACTTGGGTGGCATATCCTAAGTGTGAGCGAACCAGAGAAAGGTACAGTGTTCGTCGAATTGCAAACTCGCGAATATTGAAAGTTGATCTTCGAATATAACCCAGCATTTTATTAGCTTTGTTACTTTGTTGTGTAACTTGCTTTGACCAAGTGAGATCATAGTTCGTCCATACACCTAAATCGAGTTCGCAATCAGTCTTTTCTAGTATGGTATCTTGTAGTTGATAAGGGAAATCTATTTTGTTGTGTTTCCTGGTGACCTGGAGGGTTT